CACATGAGGAGACTCATTTCTCAAGTGTTGGCTGCAAGAAATTGTGGTTGATCAGATATCCCGGGAGGTTGGCAGGTGTTAGAATTCTCTTCTTCTCAAAGAGCAGTGTAATCGCTTGGGTTCGCAGGGTCCCTGTTCCACGCGAACTCCTGAGTCATGGGAGAGAGGGGACGGTGAGGATACTTCTGGCTTCAGGAGAAAGGCTGCGCTCCCCATCCAGCCAAGAAGGCACTCGCTAAATCTCTACAGTCACTTGAGGGCGCTGCCAGCCGTGTGAGGGGACAGGCCGGTCAGCACCAGCTTCCTCCTGTTAACAGATGGAGCGGATCCAGGTGTAAGTCTATGTTTCCATTTTCCTGACATTTGATAGTCAGACTGCAGCTGTCATGGGCCCTCAGAATGTCAAGTCTTCTCTGGGGGGATAAAAAAAAAAATGCAAGTTTGCACAGGTCATAAAAATGCCCTTGGGTCAAATATGTGGACCTCTAGTTGACATGGCCTTGCCCATAGTGCTGCTTCTCGCCCCCTTTTTAAAAGTGCCCTCCCCTCACTTCTGGCCTGGAAGCAGACAGACTGCACACAGGGTCTCCAAGGGTCAAGCCACGTGGGCTTCCAGGGACGGTGGAGCTGAGGGGAGCAGGGCAGGTGGGGGCTCTAACAGGCTGGCGACGCCTGTCCTGTCCAAAGGCACAGGGTCACAGCCACATGCTGCTCTCTTGGCAGGCAGAGTGGCTGGTGCCAGCGCTCTCCTCATTTTAAAAGAAAAGTCAAAGAACTAGATTTTTATGCAAAATCATCCTCCAAATTTTAAATGTTTAGAGCTGCTCTTTTTCATCTTTTTTCCCCAAAATACCACGGAGAACAGACAAAGACGTAGGAGGGCCCCAGTGCGCCATCTCTGGCATACAGAGGAAGAAATGTGCTAGCCAGGCCACAGACACCTCAGGGCATTAAATGAGGACTCTTCTGGAAGAAAAGCAAATAGTTCTTAGTAATGTGGAAAAATGCTTATTGTGTAAGTGGGGAAAACAGTGGCATAACGCTCTGACTACATAAAATACGCACTGTGCAGGGTAAGTGCTGTGGAGAGCATGCCAGAACATCATTCTGAATCTGCATCAGACAAAGCCTGCATGTGATGGAGGCAGGGACTGTCGCATCAGGCTCTAAGCATCCACACGCACAGGTAATAAATATCTCCTTTCCATCACTTGCTTTTCTTTGGTCGGTGCACATCTTACTCCCGCTTCTCATGGCTCGGGGGAGAGCCCTGCGTCTCATAAGGATCCTCAGAGGGGATCAAGAGGGCAGGAGAGGGGACAGCAGACGTTGTGTAGATTGTGATATCACGAAGCTCAAAGGCCATTCTGCCATCTCACTTCCCCTAACTTCTGGGCACCGGGGTGTGAGGGGTGTGAGTGAGAAGAGTGGAATCTGAGTCATTAGTAACTCCGCTACTTCTCTTACCTGCACAAGAGAAGAAGTCATTGCAGGAGAGGCATGGTGAGGAGTGGGGTACATTATAGAACCATAAACGAAGGGAGGGTAGGGTGGAGGAATCGTCCTACTGATGGTAGGCTCCAGTTGAAATTAGGACTATTTGGGGTTCCTGCAGAGATTAACCAGAAATCAAAGCTACTTGGGTTAATATTTCTTCCTGTTGTTCACCCTGATTAGGGCAGCTCTTTGTCTTCTTGGGTTGCAACCCACACGCCTTTGTTACCTGAAGAGTACAACTCAACCTTTACCTCTTTCATTAGTTCTAAGTGATCCCAGGTATTCATCTGATGTGCCTGTGCTAGGCATGGGGAGGAACCCAGCACCTAGAAGCAGAGTGGAGCATCCCTGAAGAGCGGTCAGGGTCACAGGCGGCTGACCTCTGGCCCTGGGGTGGGGGTGATGATGACCACAGGAGAGCACTGTGAACTGTCTTAAAAGGAGAAGGGGTTTTTCATCTGAAGGCATGGACACCCCGAGGGCAGGGGCACACAGCCAGCCTCCCAGCAGGCATGGCTCTATTCTTTGTATGACAGTGCATTAAAAACCAATCAACCAGCCAACCAACAAAAAACACCATTTGGCTAGAAGGTGAGGCAATAAAGCAGATATGGTTATAAAACTCAAAGTGAGCATTCATATAGGAATTATTTTTAACAGTAATATGAGAGTACAGTTGGAGTTTCTCTCCTTCAGGATGCCTGGGAGTCAATAAATGACTGACTACTGCATGGTAAGTAGTATCTGTCAAGTATACTTGACAATTAGATATTTTAAAAATTGAAGTATAGTTGATGTACAGTGTTATGTTAGTTTCAGGTGTACAACATAGTGATTCAACATTTAAATACATTATGAAATAATTACCGTAAGTCTAGTAACCAAAAAAGGCTATTATAATATTATGGACTATATTCTCTATGCTGTGTCATCATATTCCCACAGCTTATGACTGGAAGTTTGTACCTCTTAACCCCTTTATCTGTTTCACCCAACCACACCCCACCGTCCCCTCTGGCAACCACCAGTTTGTTCTCTGTATCTGTGAGTCTATATGTTTTCTTTGTTTTGTGTTTCAGACTCCACATACAGGTGAAATCACAAGGTATCCATCTTTCTGCCTGACTGCCTTCACGTAGCATAATGCCCGCAAGGTCCATCCATGTTGCTGCAAATGGTAAGATTTCACTGTTTTTATGGTTGAGTATTATTTCATTGTATATACAGTTGACCCTTGAACAACATGGGTTTCAACTGTGCAGGTCCACTTACACATGGATTATTTTCCCTAAACACTACAGTATTACATAGTCCCTGGCTGGCTGAATGTGCAGGTATGAGACCACGGATACAAAGGGCCAACTATGGGACTTGAGCATCTGCGGATTTTGGTATCAGCAGCAGGTCCTAGAACCAATCCCCTGCAGATACAGAGAGACAACTGTATATACTATGCCACATCTTCTTTATCCATTCATCTATCGATGGGCGCTTAGGTTGCTTCCATATCTTGGCTATTATAAATAATGCTGCAGTGAACATAGGGGAGCATGTACCTTTTCAAATTAGTGTTTTTGTTTTCTTTGGATAAATATGCAGAAGAGGAACTGCTGGATCATATTGTAGTTCTATTTTTAATTTTTTGAGGAGTATTAGATATATTTTTAGAACTATGGTTGCATTTAAAGTTTATATACTGGAAATCTGAGTTAAGGCTTTAAAATTTTTGAGATAACAGAAATCTAATAGAGATCTTTTGAATTATTTAGATAAAAAAGCCCCAAACCTGAGACTAAAAGGCTTCAAAGCATGAGATTAGGTTTTAAACTTTTCTTGATGAAGATTAAAAAAATCTAGCTAGTTAATTTTCCTAAAACCTAATCCTGAAACAGAAAATTCTCTAAGTGACCAATACCAACTGAACACTACAAAGTTCTACACACCACTCAATGTGGTTTTAACTTTATTTGGTTAAGCAGATTAATACAAGATTGCATTTATGCCTACCAGCAAAATCACAGATCTCTGAGCGATGGCTAATTCTAAGTCTGTGCTCTGAGGTTGGGGGTAAAGGTTAAATCCAAGTTAGCTTTTTAGGTTGGAGATGTTATTTGAATCAAGTCACTTCTCGCCTGAGCCCCTGTTCCCATGCCTGAGCCATCCTACCTGCTCCATTTTTACTCCTTGAAAGCTGCATTGATCATGCTGGGAGTCAGAGAAACCATTTGTCACTTATGAGAAGAGGGCACTGCTCATAACATCAGTCTGATCTTCTGGTTTGTTTAGGAAGTGGGAGGGCCTACACTTCTCTCTGGACAGTATGACATCAGGCAGTAGAAAAGCCAGGGACTGAGGAAACAAATGTCAGGAGACCCAGAGGCATCAGTCCCTACCTGGCTGAAGTTTGTTCTGCTTATAATTGGTTCCGGTATAGAAATGAGTTGTCATCATATTCAGTTCCTGTCTAGTGTTATAAATAGCAGACAGATGCATGTTTTCCATTTCTGCAATGTTAGATTAGAATCTCTGCGGCCATGGCTAAAAAATTCAATTTGGTAAGAGGTTTTAAACGTTTTGTTTTCCTGGGAAGAAACAAAGCAAGGATAAGGAAATAATGAACTTTTAAAAGTCAACTGAGAAAGAAAGAATATTAGTTAAACTTAGGAGCATAAATTCCATGAATAGTGTCACTTTTTCCTTCTGTAGCGGACCATTCATGGCATACAAGAACCAACAGCTTATAGCCGGAAACCTCCAATATAAAAGGGATTCTGCCTGTCTAGCCAAGAAGTGTAATGATAAATAGACCATCGGAGGTGAATTCTATCAGAGGATTTAAAGTACAGCTACCATAAGCCTTTATGCGAAACACACAGCATTTATATTTAAGAAAAAGACAAAGACAGATACCTGAAAGGTATGTACGTTAAAAAGGTGTATTTTATAAATACTAGTAAGACGTCAGCATTGAAAATGAGAAGGGGGATTATTTTGTTTCTATATTGAAAAACTCATAGTACTACAACTTTATATTGACTTAGTAATAATCTTAATAAAAGCTAGTATCACTGAGCTACTCCTGTTACGCCACTTTACAGACGAAGACGTCTGAGATAGGATGAGGAAGTCCTCTAGTGGGGGTACATTCAGGGCCTGCTCTGCCCACCTGGCATCTCAGTTTCAGAGGGAATGAAGTGAGGGGTTGTGCATTCTGCACTGAGGATAACTGGGTGCTCCTCAAACTATTAATAGACACCATTAATACACTATTAAGGATAGGCTATTACTACAGACAGCTCCTACTATCAAAAAAAAAATTCCCTGAAGTCAGACAAATATTTACATCTCAATTTCTCTAGCAGTCTATCTAGAAATAATTCAGGCAGGCAGCCGGGAAGTTTCATGGAAGTAGGGATTCATTCAGCAAATAGGTACTGAGCACCAACAGTGAGCAAGTACTCTGACAGGAGCTGGAAATAAGTAAAATATACAAACAAACCAAATGATGCCATTACAGTTTAATATACTATTTATTTAGTTATTAATATGGACAGCCTATATTGCAACATTACAGATATCTTTCAAAACCTGTAATAAAATAGAGCCCACTATCCAGCCCAGGAGAGGACAGTAAACAAGACCATTCTGACAGTAAGAGTAGCATTAAGCACTCACAGTATTAGTCCCGTTCTTGGACATCAAAGGGAACAGCCAAAAGGTTCTTTACCTCCACTGGGATGTTAACTTTCTTGAATTATAGCTGTTTCAGAGTCAAAAGTCCAGCTTCGGTCAGTCCGTCGAGATGTGCAGCATCTCACAGAGAGGAAGGAGCCCATCTTACCTTTTGGCCAGTAGTGGTCAGACTTGGGCACGGGAAGAGGCAGGTGAGGCAGGTATGTCACAGGGGGTTTTGGTTACTTTACAAAGATTGTGTCCTAAAGCTCTAAAAACCCATCTGGTGGTGGTAGTGGCAGTGAAGAGTATATACTACATTTTGCCAGGGAGGTCTTCTCATCTCGAGCCTTGGCACTGTCACCTTTTCTGAGAGCCTTGAAGACGGACTGCAGTTCTCTGTGGGAAGTGGAGGCGGGGAACTAACAGCTACTGGTATGAGGCCATGTGCAGAGTGAACTGGACCGGCGACTATGGCTTTTATATAACCTGCTTTCTTTAGATGAACATTTCTTAATTTTTTTGTAAGTCCTGCTAGTTCTAATATAAGATTTAAAGAGGCAATGACCGGGAAAACATCTTACTTTCAAGCTGAATGATGAAAAACGGGGGGGAAAAATCCATTCTCCAATGAGCTATACTCAGTTTTCTGAGTTGAAAGCAAATGCCAAGTGACTTTTAAAAACAAGTGTTGGACAATGATGATTAATTGATGGAAGAAATTCTGAGGTCAGACTTTACATACAGCAGAATCAAAAATACAGGCAAAAAAAGATGTACTAGTGTAACATTCTTCAACCCCTTAGTTTCATGCTGAAAACCACCAATGTTTTCAACATCAGGCTACTGATGACTGGCAATTTCAAGCATCTACATAGGAAGGAGGAGAAACCATAGGGTAAAGAGTGAGAGCATTGGATTTTATTTAACTCTAGGTACCATGGTTTGACATTAGTAGGGAAGACTAATGAATGAGCAGCCATACAGATTTTTTGGTCACTGTGCTTTCCAAGCACCAAGAAATGGAGCTATTTTCACTAGTCAATGCCATCTTTAATAAGCTAGTTAGCTCCTGCTGCAGTCTTACTTGTTTCTTATTTACCAGTACATTATTATGTAGTTTACCCAGGGTGAGGAGCAAGTCATTATGTAGTACCGAGTTTACATCATCATAGGACTACAACATGCACGTTCTACTCAATGTAGCTCAAGCAACAGGAATACAAGAAAACAGTTATTAGTGGAGACTCGTTTTGACAAATTCATGTTCACGCTAACAATGGGTTTAGAAATCTTATTGGGCAGGTACCTACAGCAGTTCTTCAATTGGTATTGGAACATTACACGCATGCACAAGTGATATGGAAGAGGATGAAGCAGAAGAGGCAGCTGGATGGAGGACGAAAGGGAATCAGAAATGTATTAGGGAGGGGCCGTTCTCAGCTTTCCACAGCCAGTCTCTGCTCTGTGAGAGAGGCCTGCTGAGCAACGCTTTTGTTCTCATGACTGCGAAGTTTGGATACAACATCCAGAAAGGCCAGATCTTGTACTTCCTTGTGCAGAGGTTCTGGAAGACAGAAACCGGGTAACAGATATGCTTCTACTAGGCTGTTCTAATCTTACTATATACTCTATTCAAAATGCTTATTTAGATGATGCTGAGTTATAAAACTAGGACCAATTCTGGAAGAAGATGCAGCAATAGCCTAGAAATGTCATCTTTAGAGATATCTTAGGATAAAAAAAAAATCAGAGACCCATTACTTGCCACAGTTATATAAAACTAAATCAAATGTCAATCAAGTTCTATAAGGTTGATTAAGGTAGTGAGTTATAATTAAACACAGCACAGTGTATGATCTCAGGGTTCAGCAATGTACCCCTTGACCCTATCATCAGTTTCATCAGTTCAGATATGAAGTTCAATACTTATAGGAAAATCTTAGATCTGTTTCAGATTAATTTTGTGGCAAATAAAATGGTTATACTCCACATCCTTTCAACAAATTGTGACAGAAGGCTCCTTTTTTAGATTTCCTATCTTCCTCGTTTTGGTTTTCTTGCTCTATTTAACCTTAATTACAGTAAAATACAGGGCTGCTTTTAAGACTCTGAGAAGTGATATATGGGAAGACTTAAGTCTAATAACTTTAATGTAATCAGCGTCCTTTAAACTGATGTGTTTATTTTGATAAGACTGAGGAATAAAACCAGAAATACTGTTTTTAGCACAAATAGAAAAATTCATCCTAAAATTCCATCCTTAAGATGGAATCTCAAGGCATTCTTGGATATCCAAAACAATCTTGAAAAAGAACAAAGCTGGAGGTCTCACTTCCTAATTTCAAAACTTACTACAAAGCTACAGTAATCAATCAAAACAGTGTGGTGCTGGTATAAAGACAGACTGACAGAATAGAAAGCACAGAAATATATAATCAAATAATTTCAACAAGGATGTCAAGACCATTCAATGAGAAACGGACAGTCTTTTCAACAAATGGTGCTGGTAATATCCACAAGAAAAAAAATGAGGTTGGACCCTTATCTTACAACAAACAAAAATTAACTCAAAATAGACCAAAGACCTAAACATAAGAACTAAAAGATTCTTTAAAAAAACAAAAAAACTTAGGGGAAAACTTTATGAGATTAGGTTCAGTAGTGATTTCTTGGATATGTAACAAAAGGAGAAACAGATAAACTGGACTTCATCAAAACTAAAACTTCTGTGTATCCAGACACAATCAACAGAGTGAAACGGCAACTCTTGGAACAGAAGCAAGTATGTGCAAATCACATATATATCCAATAAGGATTTAACATACAGAACATATAAAGAACTTTTCCACCTCAGAGAACAACCTGATTGAAAAAACAAAGGACTTACATTTCTCCAAAGAAGACAAGACATACAAATGGCCAATGAGCACACAGGAAGATCCCCAACATCATTAATCATTAGGGAAATGCAAATCAAAACACAGTATGATACTACCTGACACCCAGTGGGATAGCTATTATCAAAACAGAAAATAATACTAGTGAGGATGTAGAGACTAGAACCCATGTGCACTTCTGGTGGGAATGTAAACTGGTGCAGCCACTGTGGAAAACAGTACAGTGGTTCCTCAAAAAATTAAACAGAACTACTGTATGATCCAGCAAATCCACTTCTGTTTACATATGCAAAATAACTGAAAGCAGGGACTTGAACAGGTATTTGTGTACCCATGTTCATAGTGGCATTATCCACTATAGCCAAAAGGTGATAATAGCCCAAATGTCCATTGATGGGTGAATGGATAAACAAAATATTTTTTCATTCAGCCTTAAAAGAAATGGAATGCTGACACATGCTGCAACATGGATGAAGACAGTATGCTAAGTGAAGTAAGCCACACACAAAAGGACAAATACTGTATGAGTCCACTTAAATGGGGTGCCAAGAGTAGTCAAACTCAGAGAGACAGAAAATAAAATGGTAGATGCCAAAAGCTGGGGATACGGGTGATTAGGGAGTTATTGTTTAAAGAGTACGGAATTTCAGTTTGGAAATAAGAAAAAGGTCTGGAAATGGATGGTGAGGAGAGTTGCACAATGATAGTAAGAGACTTAACCATTTTTAAGTATATAGGTCAGTGCATTAAGATCACAAATTATATGTATATTTTACATTAAAAATGCTTGAACAATTACGAATATGCTTGAAACAAGTAAGAAAAACTGAGTTTCAGCAAGGAAAGAGAAAATGTAAAGAAGAGAGTAGACTGAAAACTATTTTACCTGAAATAGAAAACTTGAGAGGCTCAACAACAGAATGGAGTAGAAACAATCAATGAACTTAGACAGAGCAACAGAAATTAATCTGAACAGAGATAATAAACTGGAAAAAAAATGAAAAGCCTCAGTCACCTGTGCTACATAACTAAAGATCTCACATTTCTGTCATTAGTCTCAAAGGAGAAGAGAAATAGGGTGGGACTGAAAAAGTACCTGGAGAAATATGGTTAAAAACTTTCCAAATTTAGCAAAAGACATGAGCCTACATATTCAAGAAGCTGAGCAAAACTTGAACAGGATAATCCCAAAGAGATGCATGCCAAGACACATCATAGTCAAACTTCTGAAAACTAAAGACAGAAAAAAATCTTGAATCAGAAATGACACCTTGCCTACAGGGGAACGACAAATAAGGAGACAGTGGATTTCTCTCAAGAAGCCATGGAGGCCAGAAGAAAGTGGTACAGCATTTTTCAAGTTTTGAGGAAAAGAACTGTCAACCTAGAGTTCTAACACAGAATATTTTTCAGAAATGAAGAACAAATCTACATATCCTGAAAGAGAATGAATAAGTGAAGGAATAATAAAGGAAATGAGAATTTGTCATAAGCAGATCTCACCTAAAACAATGGCTAAAGGAAGTTCTCTAAACAGAAAGGGAATGTTTTAAAAAAAGAAACTTCTAACATCAGAAAGAAAGAACAGATATAGCAAAGATGTAGATAAATACAGTAGTTTCTCCTTCTCTCAAGAGTTCTCTGGATTATGTTTGATGGTTGAAAACAAAAATGGTAACATTATCTAATGTGGTTCTAAATGTATACAAAGGAAATATTACTAATTTGAAACCCTTTGCACCCCTATGTTCACTGCAGCAATATTCACAAAAGCCAAGATATGGAAGCAACCTAAGTGTCCATGAATGGATAAAGACACTGTCATATATTTATAAAAATGGAGTATCATTCAGCCATAAAAGAATGAAATCTTGCCACTTGCGACAATATGGCTGGACATCGAAGGCAAAGTGAAGTAAGTGAGACAGAACAAGACAAATACCATATGATCTCTTGTATATGTGGAATCTAAAAATCAAAAACCAAGCTCATAGACACAGAAAATAGACTGGTGGTTGCAAGAGGCAGGGGGTGGGAGTAGAAGAAATGTGTAAGCTAGTTTTTCATTTAAATAAATTGAATAAAGATTTTATACAATGATCATTTTGAAAAACCTCAAAATAGTAAATTATTTTTGCTTACTGATTAAACACCACACAAACCTTTTGTTTCCCATTACTCCAATTTGAGTTTCATATCACAGTATTTCTATTTTCCTCTAACTGCATTATTTTAAAAAATGGCTCTGGAAAAATCCACAGAATACCCCAAGAAAAATCTTCCCTAACTAAAGATTTAACACAAGAGTATCTTGCCCATTTAATTGGTCAATCTGAGAATAGAAAAACTCTTTGTGAAGGAGAATTTTATCATGCAATGTGTTGCCCAAGCAGGATTTGTGGGAAATATCCTCAAAGAATACAAGCAAAGCAGAGATTACTGGGGCGCTGGTCAGCACAGCAGCATAGAGCACAAACACTACCTAGGGCAGTGTAGACAGAGCCGCAACATCTAAAAAGATGACAGGTGCCTCAAGCCAAGGGCTTCCAGGATTATAATTCCTTTGTCAAAGTGGACCCTGCTGCAAAGACAGATGCATCAAACCACCATGACCTGATGCCACTACACAGTCCATTCATTTAACTCCTTGTTCTGGTCAAAGCTCATCAAGCAACCCTCGATGCCTGTCTGCCCTGCGGGAGTCAGTGCACGAGACATGTGCATGGGGGGTGTTCTGAGATCAGGGGCAGTCATACTTGTCATTATAAATGAGTAAACTACCATTCTGGTTTTGTACTTGGATACGGTGAGCCCACCCCAGGAGACAGGTCCACCTTTAGTGTGTGCACAAAATGAGGCACGTGAACCTGCTCAGTTGACAGCTGAACCTCAGGCCTTGGTGAAAGCACCAAGCCACTTAGGATCCCAACCCCTCCCACCAAGACTTAGTTCCAGAAGTGCTTTCCCGAAACTGCCCTCCGTAGTTGTCACCATCACCTTGAAAATACCTGTCCCTAACAAATGGGACCATTCATGTTCATCACTCCTCACCCAGCACCACTGCACTGTCCCTGCTTATTTCCTTCACAGCCTTGACTTCCTCATCTAACAAATGGTAATAATAATAATGATAACCAACTTTGTGGATGAAATCACACAACTGTTAAGCAAAAAAAAGGTGAGGGAGACAGAGTGGAGTCAAAAACATGACCCAACAATGCGTTGCCTACACTTTAAATTGAATGACGCGGCAGACTGAAACTGAAAGGGAAGAAAAAGATACGTGAATTTTACTCAAAAGAAAGTAGGAGTAGCTAAATTAATATCAGACAATGTAGACTTCAGAGCAAAGTACCAGAGACAGGGAGGAACATTACATAATGATAGAAAGGTCAATCCACTAGGAGGGCACAGTGACCCTAAAGTTTGTATGTACCTATCAACAGAGCTGCAAAACATGAAGCAAAAATCTGACAGAACTGAAGGGAGATACAGACAAATCAACAATTGTAGTTGGAGACTTCAACACCCCTCTCTCAAAAACTGACAGAACCAGTAGAAAATCAGCAAGAATACAGAAAACACTAGTATCAAGCAAAAGGATCTAATTGACATTTATAGAACTCACCACTTGATAACAGCAGGATATATGTTCAAGTGTCCACGGAACATATACCAAGATATGCCAATGATTTCTTGAACAAATTCCTTAGTTAATATCATGGTATACAAAATCAGAACTTGTTCTTTATATAAAATAATATTTTAGGGTTAATGAAACTTAAAGGTAAACTTTTTTAACATTGATTTTTGTTTGCTATATAATACTTTCTATTATTAAGAATCTTTTTGGGGGGGTGGTAATAGTTCAGTGGAAGAGTACCTGCCTAGCATACAGGAGGCCTGGGCTCAATCCCCAGGACCGCCACTAAAAATAAACAAACCAAACAAACCTAATTACCGCCTCCCCCCCACCAAAATCCGTGGCGAATATTTGCAAGATAAAAGGAATCCTGTATCTTCCATAAACTAATTTCTAATGCCTTTTAAACCCAAAGCAACCATTATTATTATTTTATATTTAATGTCAACCATACGTTGATGAATATCAAATGACAGAAGAAATACTTACCAGACCCCATGAGAGCACAGATCAGGACCATGGAATTATATTTGATTTCAGGAGCACTCCTCTCATCTGCTAGCAGTCTGTGTAAAATCTGTACAAGTTTAGCACTTTCTAAATCTTTCTCAGCAATGCCTGGAACATGGAACAATTAAAGTATCAGTTACATTCACTGTGTATGAACCTGACACAATCTGGCTAAATACTGCTTCCCTTTCTAGAAGCTGACCATGTGAAACCTTCCAAAAGGGACTGATAATAATAATGACGTAGATAAAGAGTATTAAATTCAGGCCTTGTTAAAAGGGTAGATAGATCTAAATTTCAATAGACATTTCAGGAAATTGGGCTTAAAATTCAATATTAAAATATTCCTTTAAATATGAGGCAATTAAAAACCTCTATTACAAAAACTGTTAAACATACAAAAGAAGAGAAGATGATATGATACACTTTGTCACCATCTTCAAAAATTATCATGGCCAATCTTGTTTCCTCTGTCTCTAGTCTTATCCATCTATTCTCACCCATCCCAAATTATTTTGGAGCAAATCCTGCAAATCACATAATTTCCTCCATGTGTATTAGTATGTATCTTTGAGATAAGGACTCTGCAATTCCCATCAAAATCCCAATAGGATTTTCTATAGAAAACAGGCATGTACTACAATTTATATGGAAAGCCACTGGCCCTAGAAAAGGTAAAAAAAAAAAAAAAATGATCTTGATAAAGAAGAATAAAGTGGGAGGAATTCCTCTACAAGGCATGAAGGCTCACTGGACAGCTACGGTTAACAAGACGGTGCCGAACAGGTGGAGAGACAGGTAGGCTCATAGGTCAAAGGAACTGAAAGAAGACCCGACAAAAAGACCCACACAAATGTGCTCTACTGACTTTTGACAGAGGTACAACATCAAATCAGTGGAGGAAAGACAGCCTTTTCAACGAATGGTGCTGGAGCAATTATATAACCATAGAAAAAAACAAAAAAACGATGCCTGACCTAAACCTCACATCTTATATAGATATTAACTCAAAAAGGATCACAGACTTAAATGTAAAATATAAGACTATAAGCCTTTTAGAATTCTCAAAACTCAATAGTTCAAAAAATGGAAAATGGGCAAAAGACATAAATAGGCATTTCACCAAGGAATATATACAGATGGCAAATAAGTATATGAAAAAATGTTCAACATCATTAGCCATTAGAAAAATGGAAATTAAAACGAGGTATCACTACATAGCTATGAGAATGGCTAAAATTTTAAAAAATAGTGACAATACTAAATATTGGTGAAGATACAAAGAAAACGAGATCACTTATACAGCACTGGTGGGAATGAAAAATGCTACAGCCGTTCTGTAAAACAGTTTGTCAGTTTCTTAAAAGATCAAACATGCAGTTACCATACCATCGAGAAGTTATCTTATAACTCCTAGGCATTCTTTAGAGAAATGAAATTTTATGTTTACACAAAATCCTATACATGAATATTCACTGCAGCTTTATTTTTAAGTCCCAAAGTGGAATCAGCCCAGATGTCCTTCAATAAGTGGAAGGTTAAACAAACTGTGGTACATACATATCATAAAATACTATTCAGAAAGGAGAAAGAGTGAACTGTTGATACATAAAACAAATCAGTAACTCTTTAGGAAATTATTCTGAGGAAGAGAAGCCAATTCAAAAAGGTCAAATACTGTATGATTCCATTTATATAATATTTTTGAAATGAAAACATTTTAGAAATGAAGGGCAGATTGGTAGTTTCCAGGGATTTGAAACAAGGAAGGGGGAGGTGGGTGAGTGTGGTTGTAAGTGGAGGATCCTTGTGGTATTAGAACTATTCAGATACACCTCCACGGGTTATAAAACTATGAACTTTTAAACACAAATGAGTACAAGTATAACTCGGCAAGTCTGTCTGAATAAGATAGGTAAATTATATTAGTGGTTGAGATGTTACACATATGTTTTGTAAAATATTACCATTGGGAAAAGCTGGGCAGAGTGTATAAAGGATCTTTCTATATTATTTTTTATAACTCTATGTGAATCTATAATTAATAAAAATATATAAGGACTCAAAATACTGCTCTAATATTTTCATCATACACAAAATTTATAATTCCTTAATAATATCCAATAGCTTGTAAGGATGCAAGTTGGAGAAGTATGATTTTCAAAGTGCACTATACATTAAAAAGGTAGTATGGCCTTATTTTTAAATCTTAGGCTCAAGGAGCCTAGGAAACATGAGATAACAACAACAAATGTGATTATGTATTGTCAGTTCCACGGTAAGGTGACCAGACCCAGGCAAATACTCAGCTATCAGGAAGCCTGTTTAGGAGACACTAGTTACGAAGGGCATAAAACCAGATTTCCCCTAGGATGGGAGGCCAAGGATGTTCTGAAATTGCTCTATCACTTTAAGCCATTTAAAAAAATCAAGCCCTGAACCCAATTTGGTATTCAATGTTCTCACCAACTCTCACCTCTTCATCACAGCTCCCCCCACTTAAAGGTGTCTGGACTTCAGGACCGACATCCATAATGTCCCCAAACCATGGGAGAAATCACCGAGTATGCCAGGACTCGGACTGACCTCTGCAGCATCTCTAACCTAAATCAGTGACCAAAGTCACATACATTTTCTTAAAGTCTTTTATCTTTAAAATTCAAGAAAATTTTAAATCCTACTTATTTTTTTTAAATTATAAGTTGTTTAAAAATTTATAACCCTTTAAGAGGACAAAAATTCGTATCTCTCATACGTGAAATCTGAGAGTGACAGAGTAAATCTGACAGTGGAGGAAAATATACCTTGTTTATCTTTTGGCTCCTGGGGATAAGAGTTGGTGGGTCCACTTGCCCCAGTGCGAAGATTATGCACATAAATTGCCAATGGGAATTGAGGTGATCAGTTAGCAGTACTTACCCAAATGGCTCTGAAATGAATAGGACATGCCTAAGTCTATAGTCCTCTTCTGTGTAAGGCAGCCTGAGGCCTTTCCACAGGCTTTGTGACTCTGATTGTCCCCAGCTGACTGTATCAGAGGTTGGTTCCTGAGACAAAGTTGCTACCCATAAGCTAAGATGCCTATAAGCTCGCTTATTCTGAAGAATTCTGACCAACAGAGATGCTACTGATAGAGAGAAAAAGACTGAATCATTCAGACTTTGCTTTAGGGGAATTCTGAATGTAAAGTATACAGAAGAGTGACATAGACGGTGAGAATTTAGAATGAAGGCAATGCTGTCAACAGAAACCACGGTGAGAGGGAGGAGGTATATGAGCAAAAGAAAGAATGAGTAGTAGATACGGCAGCGAAGGTCTGGGTGTCTGGAAGGGCAGCAAACTCTAAAGTTGATTTTGTATTCTATATATTTCTTTATTTCCCCATGAGGCCTTCTGAAAATGTTTTCTGTATTTCCTAAGTGCCTATAATTTGAGATAACATTTAAAAGAGTCAAACTAACCTTAAAAAAAAAAAGAGTCAAACTAACCTTAAAGTACTGCCCTAAAAATATTACCTAAAGAACCACCAAAAGGGACAGCTGTGGTGATACTCTGTAGAATATGATTTTCCATATACTCAGATATGGGTACAGACACACTGGCAAAATGCGTACAGTCAAGGTTCTGTCTGACCTCTGTTCCACTCCTGTGCTTCCTTTCATCCAAAATAAAAATAGGAAAAAACAAGTCTGTCACTGGGGTACTTACCCAATTCTAAAGCTGCTATTAGTGCCAAAGCAACAAGGGCCTCGTTCTGCATTATTACATGTTCACTAGTTGCCATGGTAACTAGATGCTTGACGCCACCACTTTGTACAATGGTTTTAATTACATCCTACAATAAATAAATATCACAGAATAATAAACTTTAATTTTAAAACATAAAGAAACTGCATTACAATCAGTCAATTCACTGTTGAGTGGTTTTCTGACAGTGTCCCATATGAATCATTACATTTAGCCATAATTTTTTTCTTCACACAAGAAAAGGAAAAAGCTTTTAGCTTTAAATAAATCCATCAAAAGGTGACAACTTAAATTACCTAGGTGAAAAAGACCACTGCAGTTCATATCAAGGAACAGAGTCCCAGACGCTTCCAAAGTCAAAGAAATAAAGTGACATTGCTCCAAATGTTGACTTACCACAAGATCAACAAGAGAATAAGTCTTGAAATAATTTAAAAAGTTCTTTCCTTTTTCACATTTTTAATGTAACACCATGTAGGTGTTCTCCAGATGCACTAGGTGAAGCTATTTATTTATTTATTTATTTGCTTGCTTACTTACTTACGTAGCTTTTAAAAACCATCGTTGGATCTGACAAAACTAGATTACATACAAAGGGACTTGAGCAGAACTTAAAATTCTGTCTCCCTCATTTTTCATGGTGCCTATGGTTCTGCCCTCTGCAACTGTAAAGGGAGCACTGGGCTCCAGACTAAAAATATCATAGCACCAACACTGACTTTGAGCAAATTACTGAAGCTCTCTGCCTCTCAGAGACTTCACCTATAATAATGAGATAATGTAAGTGTATATCTCATAGGGTTTTGTTAAAATTACAATGTTACTACATGAAAAGCACAAAGGCTAGATTTTTTTAAATGATCACTTTTTTTCTAGTACTCAGTTTTGTCTTCATCTCACTTCATCTAGTACTCATTGTTGCCTTAAAACTCTTGGGTTAAATATGATTTAGTAGAAACTCTCAATTATAGAATATTTTAAAAGTAACTTTATTACTTTTCACTATTTTTAGTAATCTGAAGTAACCACTGGAATATTTTAAGTAGCCTGTCCCAGTTAGCTTCAATGGTACAAAACTAACTGTAATTAGAAATATTTTTCAAATTAATTTGTTAAAATATTTGAAAAAGGAGTTCTTTTCTGCTTCTACCTTATGTAAATTTTAAGAAAACTATTTATAGACAGTATCTTTGTTTTGAGCCCAGACTTGTTTAGTGGTCAAACATTCTAAATCAATAGAGTCCAAGTACTGAGTTTTTTGGTGGCTGTGTTATAGCATCTAATGTCTTTTCCCACCCATTTCTTCTAGAAAGTGAGAAACCATGTTTCAAAGCCTTTCTTAGTGAAAAGGAAGGGCCTCCCAATACAAGCAACCCTCCGTATCTGTGGGTTCTGTATCTGCAGGTTCTGAATCCATGGATTCAGCCAACCACGTACCAAAAACGGGGAAAAGATAACTTCCATAAAATTCCAAAAAGCAAAACCTGAATTTGTTGTGTGCTGGCAACTATTTAGTATTTACATTGTATTTACAAATACTTACATCGTATTTACAACTATTTACATCGTATTTACATTGTATTAGGTAATTTAGAGATGACAAAGTATATGGGAGGATGTGCACAGGACAGATGCAAATACTACATACACCATTTTATATAAAGGACTTGAGCATCCACAGATTTTGGTACCTGAAGGTGTGTCTAGGAACCAATTCCTCGCAGATACCAAGGGACAGCTATATACTGCGTACTCAGAGGCAGCTTATTTGAAACTGATACATAATTCTTAAAATTAGTAAAGAATTTTATAAAAATCACAAAGATTTTTGAGTCAAGAAGACCACAAAAGATTCACAAGATACATAGGCAGTCACCTAGGAAGATTCCTGGACTATCATTTCATCCTCCCATTTGTGATTCACCCTAAAAAGTCCACTGCAGTAGAAAGAAGGGAAAGGAATAAATGAAGAAAATCTGTACATCAGAAGTGAATACCACTACTACCCTTCAATCCAAGCATAGCTTTTTCCCACCTCACTTTTCTGAAAGAGATACCTGAGTATTTCCCTTTAAAATGCCTGCCCTCGCTCCTCCTACTTCAGTAAATGCTTACTGAGTAGCTTCTGGCGTCACTCTGCCTGATAGAATGGAGGATAAAAGATAAATGCAGCCTTGTACTTGTCACATATGACAAAAGAGGATTATTACTATCGGTAGCTACCCTTTATGGAGCAACACCTACACCCAGGACACTGTACTGGGTAGCTTACAGACAACAGCTCATTTTTACCCTCACAGAAAATCCCATTAGCTAGATAGTATCTCCAGTTTATAGATGAGGAAACTGAATTTCAGATTGTTATATAATTTGCCTCAAGTCAGACACTGATTAAATAGTAAAAAGCCAAGATTCAAATCCAGACAGTCTGACCACCAGGTCCTCATTTTTAAGCATTTGTGGTCTATGCAAAAGTATATGTACTGAATTCATTATAGTGCCAAGCAGAGGCAGTCATTTAATGTGATTTCAAGAGGCTCTATGAATGTATTTTAAAGTTATGCTTTTAACTTCAAGACAAAAAATAGCACCACTCCATAGAGCAAGAAGATTCATCTGGAGAATTACAAATAACTTTAACCAATACACTTCCAAAATTAATCCAGAGATTATTTTTACCTCTCTGAAACCATTTCATTTATAATAAGTAAATATATTTTATTTCATAATCCTATTTTTCAAGAAGTTTTTCTATAGAAGGCTAAATTTCAGTAAATATATAACCAAGGCAAATTATCTATGTTAACAGTCTCACATATTTATCATTTATGGTCAGTTTGCTCTTAATTGTTGAGATAAATTCAGCTAAAGACTTTGTTGAAAACATCAATTACTATGGAATGTTTTGAGATAGGCTTGAATTTGAGGTAATTTATAAGATTATAGGCTCATGTAGCCCCCGAATCACCTATCAAAACCTTTCTTTCTCAACAATCTATCATCAAAGCTCTCAGTCCAGGGTTTAAATAAATGTTTGTTGGATGAATAAGCAAATGACTAAATACATTTGTTTAAGTAAGTTTTTAGCTTGATAACTGATGAAGAATGTTTTACTCTTAAAGGTTAAGGAAAAGTACCCTGCTTTGACAGGAGGGAATTTTTATATTCCTGGTGTAGAGGCAAACTATGTTTCTCAAGCTAGCTGCTTAGGAGCCCTAGCTGAGGGCATGCTTTCAAGGCAAGATGTGAGTTTACCTATTGGCATAAGCACAGGAATACACTCTGTATGGCCAAGATGCCTAAGCCAGGGTGAAACTGTGAATCAGTGCAAACTTCTGGAGTGCTGTACTCTAAGACAGATATCAGGGTGGCTTTAAAAGTAGAATCTTCAAAGTTTAAGAACAACACAAGGAGAGAGCCATGATTCACAACAGTTGGTTAAGGATCTACAGGAATGCAACAGATTTTACCTAATGTTTAATTACTTTTTAAAAGCTTATTCCATAGCATTTTCCAAAGTATGTCCAGTGGAATGTTAATAGGTGTCTCTTGCAAAAAAAGACCCACAGTGAAACAGTTTGTGAATCAGTGAACAAATTAAAAGAATTCCAAAGGCAAGTTAAGGGAATGTGCTATTTCCATAACTAACCTGACCATAAAATCCTTTTTCTTTGTCAAACATTTCTTTGAGTTATTATTTGATGAAACATATTTTGAGAACTGCTGCTTGAAAGGAATCGCTCATTCCTTTCATGTTTGTTAAATTTAAAAATAATTTAATAAATCTAATCCAGAGGTCACACAAAGAACATACGTTGTATTCTTTTCATTGAAGCCTGTGAATCAAAGTTCCAATTGCCTCTTAGCAGCAGTATAATCTCAATTGTAGTAAAGATATGTAAAGGAAAAAAGCAGTCTATTTGGTACTGAATTGTAAAAAAGTTATAATGCAACTATAAATTTGAAACCCTGTATTATTTCCAATTATTTTTTTATTACACATACTCATACCAACACCCACATCCCTACAAAGGTACCATCTAGTATTTCTCATTTTTTTTCAAAAATCTTACATGGTTGATAGATGCTTAATGGGTACTTAAAAGTTCTTGACAGGGAGAAAATAAGAGATTAGATGAGGCAAAGGGAAACCTGTGATAAATGAAACTCACAAAAAAGTCTCAAAACCCTCAGATCTCAATTTAATGTTATAGCATTTGAATAGTTTTGGTTCTAAGACATGGTTGTTTAAGATGCTGGGATGCATCTACCTACGGACACATTTTTGTGTCCACTAATGGTTTGGTTATATAATTGTTAGTTGCTACTGAACTGATTTTATGAATTAATCAACTCTTCATTGGACTCACTGGCCTAACTACCACATGTAACAGAAATTTATCTTAGGGTTCCAAATCAGATGCCAAAACACGACTCCTGTTGTAATACAGTTAATAGAATATACTGCTGTCAGTAAAAATGTACAAACCTTTAGGCAACTCTGAGTGAAATAAGGAATAGGAAAGCCCTAATGAACAGCTGCTTTGCTCCACGGAAAGATGCCAAGAGATAACTTCTGATGGGGAGGAACATTCCTGTGGCCAGTCAGCTGGGATAGCTATTATGGTGAAGTCAATTATTTGTATGAAGGAGATTTACACAAGTCAAGGAATACCCTTATTTTTAAGCTTTTTCTCTTGCCATCTTCTTTTAATTTGTTCCATAAATAAATGAAAATAGCTCGTGGATTTTTAGTTCTAAACTGTCGTTTGTCTCACATACAATCAGTTGTAAACAAGTGAAGTGGTCAAAAGGCTCACTTTAAAAATGAGATTATAAAAAATAAAAGGTATCTAACTTGGATACTAATTCAGCTGCTGAACTGTTGGCCTGAGTTCCCACCACTGTGATCTTAAAATAGTTCATTTTTTCATTCATTTCTTCCTTTCCTCAACAAAAATTTACAGGTGATTTACCACGTACCAGACACATACCAGGCTGGACCCTGACAAGAGAATGGATTTCATCCAACTTTATGAGTTTGGGGCATCATCTACCATCCAGGTATCATTTAATTTCTAAGTATCTGTGGCTTGCTGGGTCAGAGCGTGGCACACGGAAGATGCTTGACACAGATGCTGGTAATGGTGGAGAACGACAGTACCCTCCACTGACTGAGTGCTCACTGTGTCCAGCGGCAGCTGAGCACTCTGTCTATGTGATCTCACCGAATCATCCTCACAGCACTTTCATGTAGGTGTCATCCCAATTTTCATAGGTGAAGATACTGAGAAATGAATACACTTGACCAAGTAAATAGCAGAGATATAATCTGAACTCATCTCTGCTTTGATTCCAAAGTGTTCCTCTTGTCTATTACGGAGTAGAACTAAATTTTAAAAAGTTCAATCTTCAATTATTTTTTTCAGAATTGTGGATTAATGTATTTACACATGAATACATAAAAAAGGTAAGCTTATGATACAGGTCTATGTTACTGGGTTTCCGAAAAGGCCACTGCAATGTTTGATGGTGAACGGTTTCCTCTGGGACTTACTTTTGATTTACTGTGTCGTATGAGGGCAGAGAGCAGTCTGTTTGATTCCCCCATCACACCAGCGTGATCTTTGGCTTCACACCATTCCACCAAACGCTCCACTAATTTAAAATTCTTTCCCAGTTGTTCAGCAGCTTCTGCTATAGAAAAGAAGGCAAACCACAAAGGAATGAATCACTGCTAGGCAATCAACTGAAATAACTGGTAAAGATGTAAAGGAAAATTACATGTCTAAAAAACATAACAATTTTATTAAAGCAAGAACTGCAAATATTCTGTTTCTGATGAACTATTGGGCTTTTTCTATCAAGTTGTGGACTTTCATACAAAATACGAAAACAAACAACTTTGTACTTGTTTGGTTCTGCCTGACAGTCCATTAGTACTCTGGCAAACTATAATGAAGAGTTTTTATAAGGACTCTAAGGAATCAGTAAAGAGAAAGGTTTAGAATTCAGAAAGAAGTAAATAAATATAACTAATTTCCAAGGAGTGATTTTCATTACTGTTGCTGTAAACAGAAAAATGATCTCCCTGTTTGCAAAACAAATTTTACACAATTTTGACTATCACTGTATTGAAACTTGGTAATTTTGAAGACAGGCTGAAAATGGGTATGGAAAAAATGCTAAAACATAAAAGCCCTTCAAGAACTGCTAATAAATCAAACTAAAACCAAATTATATATACTGATAAAGAGATATGCAATATAATTTCCATTTAAAGTCAATTATAACAAGTATGGAAATTAATGAACTGGGTTCCAAAACCAATCTCTATTGCCTTTTATTTGCTACTTATCTTCTTTTTTTAACAAACATTCGACAAAGGAGGCAAGAATATACAATGGAATAAAGACAGTCTCTTTAGTAAATGGTGTTGGGAAAACTGGACAGCAGCATATAAATCAATGAAGCTAGAACACTCCTTTATACCATATACAAAAATAAACTCAAAATGGATCAAAGCCTTAAACATAAGACAAGATACAATCAACCTCCTAGGGGAAAATATAGGCAAAACATTATCTGACATACATCTCAAAAATGTTCTCCTAGGACAGTCTACCCAAGCAGTAGAAACTAAAGCAAGAATAAACAAGTGGGACCTAATTAAACTTACAAGCTTCTGCACAGCAAAGGAAACCACAAGTAAAACAAAACGACAACCTATGGAATGGGAGAAAATTTTTGCAAATGATGAAACCGATAAAGGCTTTATCTCCAGAATATATAAGCAGCTCGTATGACATAAGAAAAAAAACAAACAATCCAATCCAAAAATGGGCAGAAGACCTAAACAAGCAAGTCTCCAAGGAAGACATATAAATGATCAGTAGGCACATGAAAAAAATGCTCATTATCACTAATTATCAGAGAAATGCAAATCAAAACTATAATGAGTTATCACCTCACACCAGGCAAAATGGCCATCATTCTAAAGTCCACAAATGACAAATGCTGAAGAGGCTGTGGAGAAAAGGGAACCCTCCTACACTGCTGGTGGGAATGCAGTTTAGTGCAGCCACTGTGGAAAACAGTATGGAGATTCCTCAAAAGACTAGGAATAGACTTACCATATAACCCAGAAATCCCGCTCCTGGGCATATATCTAGAAGGAACCCTACTTCAAAAAGACACCTGCACTCCAATGTTCATAGCAGCACTATTTACAATAGCCAAGACATGGAAACAGCCTAAATGTCCATCAACAGATGACTGGATAAAGAAGATGTGGTATATTTATACTATGGAATATTATTCAGCCATAAAGATAACAACATAACGCCATTTGCAGCAACATGGATGTCCCTGGAGAATGTCATTCTAAGTGAAGTAAGCCAGAAAGAGAAAGAAAAATACCATATGAGATCGCTCATATGTGGACTCTAAAAAGAAGAGGAAAAAAAAAAAAGAAAAGAACATAAATACAAAACAGAAACAGACTCATAGACATAGAATACAAACTTGTGGTTGCCAAGGGAGCAGGGGGTGGGAAGGGACAGACTGGGATTTTAGAATTTGTACATACTGACAGGCATATGGAGGATAGATAAACAAGATTATACTGTATAGCACAGGGACATATATATAAGATCTTGTAGTAGCTCACAGCACAAAAAAAAATGTGACAATGAATATATGTATGTTCATGTATAACTGAAAAATTGTGCTCTCCACTGGAATTTGACACAACATTGTGAAATGACTATAACTCAATAAAAAAAGTTTAAAAAATTGGGGGAGGGGTAATTAGGTTTAATTAATTAATTAAATGGAGGTACTGGGGACTGAACCCAGGACCTCATGCATATTAAGCATGCACTCTACCACTGAGCTATACCTGACCCCCAGCTACTTATCTTTATGATGACATAATTCTGAAAGCTAAAAACAAATCTTTTTTCAACTAGAGGCACATTAAAACTATTATACCAAAAATGCACCTTGGGAAAGCATTTTGTTTACCTTGTGCATCTATTAACATTCTCAGTGTTCCCAGAAGTTTGAACTGAACCGGCGGCATTTCAGATTTAAGGAATTTCAAAACTGCCTCTGTGACTCCAGCTGATAACATCTTTGCTTTATTTACAACTGGAGAGAGAGAGAAAGACCGTGGTTAAAATGGTATTAGCATTCTAATACCATTGATATAATATATAATTATATTGATATAATCATTCAATTCAATACACATTTACTGAATGTCTTATTATCATCAAGGCCTCATGTTGTATTTTTCTATTTAAAACCAATCTTGTTACTTTTCTGTAAATTTTAAGAATGGGATTGGGGTGGGAGGACCAGGGGTAAGTATCCTGTTTGTCTACAGGAGCACTACATACAAAATTACACTTACCGGCTTTTAAATCTAATCATAAAACAAGTAAGGAAATCTGACAATGTTGCCTTCTTATTTACAAAAAGCACAATTCCTCAACTTAAATAAACGTTTTTTTTTACCTCAGTCCTTGCCCCAACTGTGTTAACAGAGACTACAGACATTAATAAATAATACTAATCTGCTACATGAACCAAACTGATTTCCTACAGATTTCATTTTCATATAGTGTATACTATTTCACCTAATCAGAAATTTATCTTTAGAAAGTAGAATAATGAATAGTTTTGACTATATCCTATGTTACTTCCCATGATGATATGATTGAAAAGCCTTGTAATCCAAAAAGACACATTGGGGCTATTTTAAAACAGTGTACGTCTGCTGGTGGGGAAAAAAAATCTTTAAAAGTCATTCTTTATGGGACTCTGTTAACTGATACCATTATCTTACCTCAACTGAAGATGCTTGAAAAAGCTTAAATATACAATATGATGAAAATCTAGGCATTCACAAAAGGTAATAAAATATTTGAATGATCTGAACAAAGATTATGCCTGTATAGTCTCAGAAAATTTATTTAACAAAAAATCTCCATCTGATTCTTCTTTTCTTGTTCAGGGCAGGTCCACAAACATAAAGTAAATAACTTCCCAGAACAACAGATTTTTTTCTTACATAGCTGCCTCCCATTCTTAACTCTTACCTGGAATGGCTAGGTTCCTGAGGGCACTTAGTGCTGCATGCTGTACAGTTACGTTTCCATCTTCTACATGTCTGTCCAGTAAATCCATAAGTTTTTCTACAATTCCATTGTCTACCATATGGATACAATTTCCATCTGAACAACAACAACAAAAAATACTTTTTTCCCTCTTTACAAATCTCTCTATATATTTTTTAATATGGATGCCTGTCCATTAACTACATTAGGGAAATAAAATGAATTCCATCTCTTTCTCCCGTCAGATTTATAGATTTGTTTTGTTTGTTTACTGAGTAAGAAGTCTGATTATAAGATTCTTAATACAGATAACATTTTTTTAAAAATCTGAAAATTGGCCAAAAACATCTCTAGCTGAGATCCTGATAATATATCAGAAGATAAGTAAGTAGAAACCACATGCTTAACACATCCTGCAACGGTTTCCATTTATAGTGAAGTGTGCCAGCGTTCTGCCAACGTTACAGTGACAGTACTCTACATTTTGCTATCATGGCTGATGTTTAAATTGTTTTTTTAAAGACAGAATTTTTGGAACATTTATAAAACAGAGAGATTATTATAATGAACTACTATTTACCTTACATTTAGCTTCAATAATTATCAATATTTTGCCAGTCTTTATTTCATCATTGAGGGGTTAATGATGGTCCCCAAAAGGAAGGAAGGAATAATGGAATAACATGCTTTAACAACAGTTCATATTCAAATAAAACCAAATAAAAACCAAAACAACCCATATTTCCTAGACACAGTGTTAGGTTTCTAGAATGAATAGCAGAAGTGTCAGACTTAAGAAATATACACGGAGGCCTGGTGACTCTGAAATATTATTTAAGTAAATATGCGGTCCTAAATCGGAGGATACCCACACTTAAATTTTGTAGGCATAAAAGTATAAATTGAGGCACAGTAACTGTACAAAGACTACTCAGATTATTAAATCCAAAATAAAATCATCAAGCAAAAGAGCATATCCTCCCAGATCAGATGTATGTTAGAATGAGACCCAAGTTTACTAATCTCTGAAGACAGAGCACTCAGAAGGCCTGAATTCATGATCACTGTTCATGACCTTTAAACTATCAGAACTTAGTTGAACTGCATTAAGTAAGTAATTTGTGTGGAAAGTTACTGTAAGTACTCCAGATTACTGAAAAATCAAGTTAGCAGCACACACAAATACTATGTACACTTCTGAACTGTTCCAGGTTATGGCAAAGCAAAAATTAAAAATATAGAATGTCTGATTTAATAAGGTTGAACTGACACGCTTACCATTTCTGGCAAAATTTGCAATTGCCAGTGCTCCAGCAAGCTGTAGCTGGTGGTTGTTTGATGGAATCCAAGACAGTACCTTTTGAAACACATTACCTTTTCCTCCTTCAAATAATTTCTGCATGGATTCATCTGGAGGTAAATCAAACAGATATAAGGAAAATCATTAGGGGTAACACATCCATATTCCTAACTGAAGATCCAATTGGGAAATTACATACTGTATAATCTATAATTCATAGAGGGAAAAGTAATTACTCTTTTTATAATAAACTTTTAGAAGAGACTGGACAAAAGAGTTTAGTCTAAGCCCCAGGTAGCCATCTAGCTAGCTTATTTATAGTCCTTTGGTGCTGAAGTCCTCTTCTATATGACAACTCTTTAAATATTGGAAGATTTACTCTTTTCCAGGTTCATTATCCCTAGTTCTCTTCCTGATGTGTTTACGATTTCAAAATCATCACATCAATGGGATTAAATGTGATAGTAAAATGAGAAAATGCCTAATACCGTATTTATAAAAGAGACAATAAATTAAAAAAAAATATGACAACCATGTTCTTTGGTCAGCATAAATTACAGCTCACCTCCAAGAAGTAATAAAACCATTAGATCTGAAGCTGTTTTGAGCTCAGCAATATCTTCTTCTTTGTCACTATCCACTTTCTGCTGAACAATCTCTAGTAGACATTCTACCAGGCCTGCTTCAACCAGCTGTAGTTTAATAGCATCTAAAGAATAAGGTGAATAAAATAAACAGAATTTGAGATGAAACAGGAGTTCTAGTATAAGCAAATGATTCATAGTGAAGAATTATAAAACACCAAGAAAGTGCATGATTTAGATAACACACCTTTGAAGATTTGAGTTTGAAAAGGAAATATCTGACACTGCAGCTTAAATACACAAAGCTTTACTTCATTTTTCCATTTGAAATTATGTCACCTTTCACAATGTCTGGCAGCACCTAAACAAATTGATTCTCAGCTCTGAAGGCAAGTAACATCACTCTGATGTTTTTCTAGATAGTACCCTTATGTTTAAAAGACAATATATAAAATATCTGAAACTGTTTAAAATAAAACACACATACCTGTTACATAAAGTTAAAATATATCCAGTTAACAGAGTTTACAAAATTATAGAAAGTTGTTGAATACAAAGTTACTGAAAAGAGCTTTGAGTAAATTTCAAAGTTTATCACAAGTATGTATATTCATATTTGCATGAATGTTATCTTTTAAGGGCAGTTAATTAATCTGTAACTTTCTGAAACTGAAAAGTCATGTCTTAAAAAAGGGCTTCAGTTTTTCATTAATTTGAAGCTTTCTCTGGTGATGGCTACATGGTGGTTCATTATACTATTATTCTTTCTACATTTGAACAGGTTTTAAAATTCCCATAATAAATGTTGAAAGAAAAAATAACTTCCAAGTTTTCTGATGGATAACTAAGGAATTTTAAAGACAGAATTTAAACCCCAATTATATTTAAAAACATTATCTTCATAGCAAACTCTACTCGTCTATCAAATCAATATTGTTTACACCTCAATATCTTAAATATTCTTTCATTATAGAACTTACTTCATTGCAGATTTTATATTCACATCTGTATCTGTCTCCCCCAAATATTCTACCTCATTCACTTTTGTATTTTAATCTAAATTGGCCTACTTAAATGTTTTGGGTGTATTTGATACTGCTTAAGATAAATGCTGATCAACTGACCTTAAAAAATTTCTGTGTAGCCAATGTATTTCTAATTTAAATTTTATTTTTAAGTTGGATTTTATTTTAGTCTTTGGTTTCCCTAAGCTGTATATGCACACATCTACAGCAATGACAATTTAGGCTTGTTATCTAATTCCTGAGACTTTTTCTTTCGGACAATTTTTATGTGTAAAAATTCAGCTTTTCTTTCTATCACCAGGACTACTGATCTTCTTTAGAATATTATTTCAGAATACACAGAATAGTCAACCTGGAATATTTTTTTTAAAAGGTACACTTGCACTCTGCCATGCTGAAAGTAGGGCGTTTCCTTGGTTACAGAATGATAGAACTAGAAATGTGTGGCGACTAGAATTGAAAGCCACGATGAAACAGCCTTAAAAATACAAAAAACCTTGAATTATACAAATCCCAATTTAAATGTTGGAATCACTCTCCATTGCATATAAGGAAAACCAAGGATGATATGCTAAGGATAGTTCAGAAACAAAGTTTTACAGGTATCATTCAATCCACTGCACAGTTATAAAACAGAAGTGAAGGTGGTGAAGGTGAAAACAGAAATAAAAAAATAAAAACCCTTTTATTATAAAATACTGCAAGAAAGGTTACAGGTCATTCTCTGGCATAAAATTGACTCAAGGTCACAATAAAAATTTCCTATTTGGCCAAATCGCCAAATGAGATGAAAAATAAATTTCTCCCTAAAGAATAAGATCCAAGGCATTTAGAAAATTTAAATGTGTCAAAATTAAAGTTTACAGATCTCTCCTCTCACACTTGGACTATAATCACACATATTTGTGGGAGGCTTAAATTGCCATATTAAAAAGGATTAGCAAGGCAGACAGCCCAGCACACATTTATCTATACCATTCTGCCAAAGGACATCTATCTTTATCACCACTGTTTGCATATATATATATGTATGTACATGTACATACATACACATATAGATATATGTGTATATGACTGCGTATGTATACATATTTTAAAAACTTTTCTAAATGATGAAAAAAATCCCACAAAAGCAGACAAATACATTAAGTATACATTACACTTAATCAATTATTATTAAGCAAATAACCATGTAACTGCCACTTAGATCAAGAAATTCATCGCCAACAAGGAAGCCCCTTCATACATTCATTTTTCCTATCACAAATCCCTCCCTCACCCCTTTCAAATCACTACCCTGACTTTTATGGTAATCACATCCATACTTTCACTGTTTCATCAAACAACCATTCCTAAAAACTACAGTGTAACTTTAGCTTTTCTTGAATTTTACACAAATGGAATCTTATAATATGTATTTTTCAGTGCTGACTTTTTCCTTTTAATACGTTTCTAAGATTCATCTACACTCTTGGGTGATGGCTGTCTTCATCCCTTCTCATAACTGTATTATTTTTTTCCATGATATGAATATACTATGATTTATTTATCTTACTGTAAATGGGTATGAGTTGTTTCCAATTTTTCGTTATTATAAATAATGCTGTTATAAGCATTCTTGTAATGGCTCCTGGTGCACATGTGCTTGTTTCTGGGTACACACCTAACAGTGAAATTGTTGGATCACAGGGAACAGGCTGTCTCCAACTCAGTACTGTCCTCCAAACTGTGCCAATTTATACTCCCACCAGCACCTAAAGAGTTTCCACTGTTCCATGCCTTCATCAACAATTGGTATTATCAATTTCTGATGAAATACAGTGGTATTTTTTTGTGGTCTTATTTTGCATTCCCTGATTTTTAATAAGCTGAGCATATCTGTATGTGCTTATCAGCCATTTGGATTTTATCTTTTGTCAAGTGCCTTCTCAAATCATTTGCACATTTTCCCACTGGGTTTTCTACTTTTTCTTAATGATTTGTGGGATTTTTAAAAACTATATTGTACACATGAGCCCTCTGATGGTCACATGTGTTGTATCTTCTCACCTACCGTCATGCTTTTCACTCTTAATGGTATCCCTTGAGGAACGGAAGTTTTTACTTTTAAAATAACCAAATTATCCATTTTCCCTTTATTGTTAGAGCTTTCTATGACTTAAGAAAACTTTCTGTACTCCAAGGCCATAATGATCTCATGTTTTAAGATATCTTTCTGGTTTTAACTTTCACATTTAGGTCAATAATCTATCTGAAATGAGATTTTTAATATAGTGTAAAGTGGGACTTTGTATGTGTGTCCAGTAGTATTTTTTTCCATTCCCCGCACTGCTTATTAAAGACTGTTCTTTCCCTACAGTTTCGCAGTGACATCTTTTTTTCTAATAAAATAAACATCTTTATTAATACACCCACTTGTTTCTGAGCCATCCGGTTCCACTAGCCTTATTGTCCATCTTTGAACCAATACCACAGTGTCATTTAAATACTACACTTCTATCAGAATACAATTTTATTATTGTTATGCCATAAAACCAGTTCTGCTGTCTTGTTCTCTTTCATAATATCTTCGCTATTCTTGGTCTTTTGGTGAGAACTGCAATGAGTCTACAGATCAGTATGAGGAGATATAACATCATTACAAAACTGAGGTTTCCAATCTATGAAAGTGATACAGCTTTCAATTTATTTAGACCTTAATTTGCCTTGATGATTTTCTACAGTTTCCTGCCAGAGATCTTATACATGTCTTATTAGTCCATTCTTAAGTATTCCATTTTTTATACCATGGTAAACAAGTATTTTTTAAAATGTATTTTTTAACTGTTTTGATTGTATGTAAAAATATAATGCTTTGAGTTTTTAAATTTTTTATTTGTTTTGGCTAGCAACCCAACCAAGTTCTAATTTTAAAAAACTTACCTATATTCTTTTGGATTTTTAACACAATCATATCACCTATGAATAATGTTAGTTATATTTATTTCTTTCCTATATCTCATCTATCTTTCTTTTTTACTTTATGCATCAGATAGTTCCTACAATACAATAAGGAATGAAAATGGGGATGACCCTTCTTATGCCCAAATCTTAAAAGGAAGTGCTTTTTGTATTACTACTGAGTATGACATTTTCTACAGGCTTCTAGTTATGTATACTTTTCATTTTCTTCCAGTGCTGGTTTGCAAAGAGTTTTTAAAAATTATGATGGATGGTTAACCTTAATAAATGTTTTTTCTGAATATGACAAGATTACATGATTCCTTTTACTAAGTCTTAATGTGATAAACTATATTCATTGCATTTGGAACTGCTTTACTTTTCCAAAATAAATCCAATTTGGTATGATAGTTAATTTTTAAATATATTATTGGATTTTGTTTGCTAAAAGTTTATGGGAATTTTGGATCTACGTTCATGGTGAGACTGACCTTTAATTTTTATTCTTGTATTGTCTTTGTTGGTATTTTATTAGCCTCATACAACAAATTGGTGAGCATATTTGCTTTTCCTATTCCCTGAAACAATTTAAGATTACTCAGCTTTTCTATTTCTTGCTTTAAAATGTATTGGCATCAATTTTTCATAATATTCTCCTAACATCTGTAAGATTTGTAGTGAGATCTCAGCTTTCTTTTTTTTCCTCTTTTTTTCCCCAGTTTTATTATGTAGAATTACTACAGTTCGGCTGCACATACACATTATATTGCATGTAAATACATATATTTAGTACACAGCACTTTTTTTTAGTTTTCATATATGTACTAGTTATTATTTCTCAGGAGAGATCAGATCTTTAGCTTTTTAAACTTACATAGTTATCAAAGGAATAAAGCCGACTGCAAAATAAGAATCAACAGAATGCGGTAATCCAATCATAAAGGACAGTCAATGTGCTTACACATATTCAAGAAATCAAAATAATTATTAGTTCATTTGTGTCATTATTATTATTGTTATTATTTTTTAGATTCTTCATATAAAAGATGTCATATGGCATTTTTCTTTCTCTTTCCAGCTCACTTCTGCTTTCTTGATTTTGGTTATTTGTGCCTTCTCTTTTTATCCTGATTAATCTTACTAGGGATTTACTAGTTTTATGACATCTTTTCAGATTCAACATTAGCAAATATAGGCTTGTACTGCATTATGTATTTTCTATTTTATTAATTTCAGTTCTTTATATTTCCTTCCTTCTACTTTCTTTGGGTTTAATTTATGTTTTTCCCCCTTCAATTCCAGCAATTATTACTGAGTTCATTGATTTTAGCTTTTTTCCTTTTCTAATATATTCATTTAAAGCAAAACAAAAAACAAAACAAAACAGAAACCTTCTAAATGACTTTATCTGCATCACATAAGGTTTGAGATAGTATTTTCATTTGTTTAAAAAAAACTTCTAATTTCCACCATGATTCTTCTTTGACCTCTGAGGCATCTGAAGCATATTTCTTAATACATACATACATACATATATGGATTTTAGTTTAGTTACTACGTAATTCATACTCTAAGACTGCAATCCTGTGAAATTTGTGGAAACTTTTTCCACAATAAGTATACATCTTCTAAATGCTTCATATGTACTTGAGAGGAAGGGGCTCTGAAGCTGGGTGCAGTGTTCTAAAATGTCCATTAAATCAATTTTCTTACACGTTGCTCACATTTTCTATATCCCTGTTTTTTTATGTTTGTTCTATAAATTACTGAAAGGTATTAAAATCACCCATGATTTTTGTGAATTTGTCTGTTTCTCCTCATAGTACTGAATATTTTTGCTTTATATATTTTAGGATAATGAATAATTTTTTATACCTTCCAGGTGAATTGAACTTTTCATCACAATAAAGTCACCTTTTTTTTATCTCTAGCAAGTCTTTTAACATTAAAGTCTACTTTATCTGACATTAAGATGACTACCTCAGCCTGTTTTAGGTTTGAATAGTATTGTTTTTAGTCTTTTTAATCTCAACCTTTAGAATCTCCTTATATTTAAGAAGTGTTGCTTGTTTAAAGTATAGTTGGTTTTTAAATATTCAGTGGATAATTGGTCTTTTAATTAAAGCACTTAGGCCATATACATTTATTGTTCTTACTGAAATACTGTACCATAAATCTAGTATAGTTTTTCTGTCCTATTTGTACCTCTTACTCCATGTCCCCTTATCTCTCCATTATTCTATTATTTTGGATTGATGGAGCAGTAAAAAAAAAATCTTCCCAGAAATCCTTCTATTAGTTTGGTAGTTACACATTGGTTTTAAAAATTATTTTGGTTCACCTTAAAAATTAAAATCACTTATTAATCAGAGCCTAATAGTACTTTCTTCCAGATAATACTCTTACTTCCCTCCAGATTTATATACTCATTTTGTGGTATATTTTAAATTATATACCTATATACTTTAAACATAACACGAATTATTTTTATTATTTTATACATTCAATGCCCATGAGATTTACCTATATATTTACTTGTTTTTTGCTCTTTCTCCTCCCTTGCATCTATAACCTTCCCTCTGGAATCTGTTTCCTTTTTTTTTAGGGGGGCAAGGGGAGGGTATCATTTTTCTTTTATCTAACAAACATCTTTTATAATTCCTTTTACTGAGGGTATATTAGTGGTGAACTTTCTCAGTTTTTAATCTGAAAATATATTTTGCTTTCAGTCTTGAAGGGTATTTTCACTGGGTTTAGAATTTTAGGTGGTACTTATTTTCTTTCAGCACATACAAGATGTTTGTCATCTGGCTTCCACTGTTGCTGTTGAGAAATCAGCTGTCAAACTTTTGCCTCTTTTCAGGTAATCTGTTTTTCTCCTGGCTCTTTTAAGATTTTTGTCATTGGTTTTTTTTTTTTTTTTGGTAATTTCAATATGTATCTAAATGTATATTTCTTTTTATCATATTTTAAATTCATTGGGTTTCTTGAACCTTTGATAGCTTTCATAATTTCCGGTAATGCTCTGCCAAAATTTCTTCAATCATTGCTTCTGCCCTCCAACCTCCCCGTTTTCTGGGACCCCAAAAAATGTATATGAGGCCTTCCCACTTTATGCTCTGTACCCCTGATGTTCTTTTATGTATACTGGTTCTTTTTTTCTCTATATTTCTTTCTGGATTTCCTTCCAATCTATTTTCCAGCTCACTGGTTCTCAAACTCAACTATATTTAACCCATTGGTAAACTCATCCATTAGGTTCTTAACTTTTGTGGTATTTTTCAATTCAGGAATTTCTAATTGTTTCTTTTTCAAATCTACTTTGTCACTTTTTATAGTTTCTTTCTAAAATTTTGAAGGTTGCTTAAAATTCTTTGAACATAATAAGCATACCTGTTTCAAATCAATGTCTAATAATTCTAGTATCTGGAGATTTGATGTTGCCTGTTCTTTGTGCTGATTCTTGCTTACAATGTCTTGTCTCCTCATGTGTCTGGTCCTCTTTGATTATGTGCTAGACACTGTATTTGAAAAATTATTTATATGGGATAGTTTGTTTAAGCTGGTTCTCTCTTATTCCTAGGATGTATCCCCTAAGATTTTTTTGCCCAAAGACAGGAGTAATTAACCACAAGGGTTAGCAGGTCTAGTACTCCAACTTTTATCCCCTCTGCCCTGCGAGGATACATAAGTGGAGTTTAGCCTCTCAGCTGCCTTTTCCAGATTGGCATGAGAATGTGTAAGCTGCAAAACCAACTTTGCCAGGATTTAAAAATCAAAAAACTTGGGAAGTAGCTTTGGCCAATATAGATATAGTTATGAAGTAATAATGCAGCTGAAGTTAGAGATAAACAAAATAAAACTTATCACATCATTAATAAAACAAAGAAGGATTTTGATATTAAGAGATGGCAATTAAATAATATTAGAAAAAAATGGAAGGAGCCTACATTATCAAAAATCAAGAGGTATATTTATTTTCTCACCATTTTCTGCCAATGGAGCAAGAACTTCAAAAACCATTTCCCTCTTATCATGTTCTATTTGTTTCTTAAAGAGTTTTACCAGCTCTTCAGCAATGTTTGTACTGGCAAACTGCTCTTTACTTGACTCTGCAAAAAAAAATTGGAGGAAAATTTAGAGTAAGCAAACAAAATTAAGTCCAGAATTTGTTTTCGACTACTTTCAATACTTGGTCATTTTGTACCATTACTCATAAATACAAACACTCTTCAAATACAGGAACAATCAAATCTGTCTTTTAAAAATGCCCCTGAAGGGGAAAAATGTCTAAGGCTTTAAAGAAAATGTTCTGACCCAATTATATTCGAGGCTATAAAAAAAAATGTTTAGTAGCATGACATATAGGTAACCACAGCAACAGTAAAATTACTGTTATAAATTCATAGTTTCAAGGCTTTTAGTCAAAGAAGAAAAATTACTCATAACAGACTACATTTTACATGGCTGAATTACTGGTGACTTATCTTTATGCCATCAAAGTGGTATGCTTTCGCTCTATTCCTGACATACCTTCTATCAAAGGCCAATTTCTCATGTGTATTTGGGGTCTCATTCCCTCCTGCCTCTTTACTATCTCCAGCCTCTCCTCTTCACTCTAGGGCCTCATCATTAGCATTTAAATATGCTTTAATATTTCTCACATAAAAAAGCAGTATTAAAAATAAACACCTTCTCTCTACTTTTATTCAACTACCATCTAATCTGTTCACTTTCACAAACAAGTTTCTTGACACATTGTCTACACACACTCTCTCTAGTTTCTCAACTCACATGCATTTCTAAACCCACCTCAAATTAGTTTTGGTCACCTCTACACTCTGTACTCTGCTTGCTCCTCTTTTCCCCCAGACCTCTATAAATTCTTGTTCCTTGAGACTTGATCCTTTGTTCTCTCACCTTTTTGGTCCCTATGCTCACACTAAACAATCTAGTTCTCACCCACGACATCAAAACAGCACCCGTATGTTGATGCTTATACAATCACATCTCTACCCCTCTCCTGGACTCCACTCTACTTACTTAACTGGCCGTTTAACATTTCCATTGGAGTATCTGCCTAGCATCCAAACTCTATGTCTAAAATGGACTTTTGATACTACCCTGAAGTCTTCTTCCTCCAGACTTCCTTAATTTGGTAAATACGTGTACCATCTATCTACCTGCCATGCAGGCAGAAACCTGGGAATGACTGCTCACTTCTTCTCACTCAACTATACATCCAATGAATTACTAAGGTCTATCAATCTACCTCCAAAATACAACCAGAATCCATTTCATTTTCTCCAATTCTTTTCTCAACTTCTTTTGCTACATCAGATATCCTGTCAATTTACTTACAAGTTTTTCTCAAAGAATTCTGACCAAATCCAATCTAGATTGGTTGCTGTCAATGTTTGTAGGACACAACTAACAGCCTGGAATTTTTATCATTATCTTGATGAATCCTACCTTCTTCCTATGTTAGACACTCTTCCTGATTCCTACATAATCTTATTTATATAGTCTTATTTATATCCCTTGTTTTGGTGCAATACATCTATCTTCCAGTGGCTTCCAGAGGAAAGGTATGTAGGGTACCAGTTTTCTGAGACATTCATGTTTGACAGTGTCATTATTATAACCTCACACTTGATTGACAGTTTGGGTACAGAATTCTATATTGGGAATAATCTTTCCTCAAATTTTTGAAGGCAATACTCCATCTTCTACCAGTGTTGTTTTGAGACATCTGATGTCTACTGATTCCCAGTCTTTTGTATTCAAGTTTTTTTCCCTCTCTCTGGAAGTCTGTAAAAGGTACTCTTTGTCCCCATTACACAAAAGTTTCATATCGATGTGCAATGGTCTGGGGAATTATCTTCATCCACTAGACTAAGCATTTGACAGACCCTTCCAATCTGGAGAAACACACACTTCAGTTCTGTGATATCTGAGTTATTTGGCAATTTCCTCCTGTTTACCTCTTTCTAGAACTCTTGCTTTGATCTTCTATCTACATTTTCTCTTCTATTTTCATCTGTTTTTTGCTTTACTTCTGTAAATACTTCTTTTACTCATTTTACTCTCTTTCATTTTAGCTGTTGTATTTTTAATGTTCCAGCTTTTTTGGTTTTCTAAACTAATAGGAAACTTTAGTTTTCTAAACTATTAGTCTCATGCTTACAGAATTTTTCTCATTTATCTGAGGATATTAGTTTATTTCCCCCACCCTGCATAGTTTCTGTTTCCTCCAAGTTACTTTTTCCTGTTCATTTCAGCATCTTCCATTTCAGAGGCTGTCTTCACCTCTCTAGTTGTCTGCCATTGATTAAGAATTGAGATTTAAAAATTAATTAGGAGCTATAAGTATGAGTGGTCTTGCTGACTGCAGGAGTCCCTGAAGATGCCTCTTTTGTAGAGAAACCCCAGTATCTTTATGTTCTGGAGGACAAATGGGGTAATTTGGCATATTTACCTTCACTTTATCTATTTTCAGAATAGTACTCTGGTACCTCTTACTTCAACTTAGTCTGATGTCCTTAGTCTACCAATCTTATATTTTCAGTCTCTCCAGAGAATAAATACAGTCTTCTGCTTAGATGGGAAGGGGTAGTTACCATAATGTGGGATGGGAAAGAGGGTTAGAAATCCTGATGACAACAAATCCTAAACATTTTGAAGATCCCAAAGAGCAAACTGGTTAGTTCTTGTCTTTCCAATTCTGGATTTAGATTTCAAAATTTTGCTAAGTGAGTTACTGCTTGTTTTTCTTCACAGGTTCTAAAATGTTTTTGTGTTACCCCCTCTACTTGTTTTTTATTTCTCCCTTTCTTTGAGGGCTTAGTACTTTAAAAAGAACCTCTTTACTGTAGTTTTAGTTGGTTCCAGAAGGGAGTGAAATTAAGTGTACATTTTCATTCTAACATATCTACCCCCAAAATACTAGTATTTAAAGCAGGCAATTTTATTTATAAAAGATTTTGAAGCCAAACAAAAAGGGTAAAAATCCCAATCTGCTTATTCTATAATGTTAAATAAGAATGCAAAGTTTAAATAAAATTGTATTTATGCTACAACTGTGAATATAGAAAAATTATGTATGCATATATTACTAGGATTCAAAGAGAACAATAAAAGGTAGAGCTGCACATTCCTTTTCTGGACCCAATTCTGAAACAGATTGTACTTGTTAAATTATTTTATATTTTGCCTTTAAGCTATTATGTATCTTTAGTGAGCAAAACCACACAAATTTTATTAAAAATTTTTGACAAAAAGTAATAACTCTAGCATTTAGTGATATGCCATACTAAGAAGTATGTGATATGATCCTGATCTTTACCTGTGTCAATAAAATAATACTAGGTGATTTATTAACTCATGGGCAATAAAGCCCACACTGAAAAGAGAAAAAGTATTTTGGGGCATACATGTTCTATTTCAGTGTTGATGTATAACCTAGCTATTATATGAGCATAACAGATTCATGACATACTCTAAAAATCTTGGCAATAAAGAAATATTTCTCTTTCATCCTTTTTTCCCCCCTCCATATGGGATAAGGGCAGAAACAGCTGGGTAAAGAGTATCAAATAGGGCTAAACTAAACTGGGTGCATATTCAGCTTTTATGATAGCCCATGGAGACAGGGCTGAATTGAGGTGGTGTATGTAATCTCCCAAACAAATCCTGATTCCTTAACACAGGAAACTTATATTAAATGGTGTTTGTTTCTGTTACAAAGGTTATAACATTACCAGGGAGTATAACATGATTTTTTTTATTTCTACAAACTATCCTAAGCACAAACTCCTACATTCCATTTTAATAATGGAAAATAACTTGTGAAACAGTAACTGAATGTTCTTTCACTCTTGGTCTTACTTGAATGATAGAAATAATGACAGTATGAAAAAGGAGAAAAGCAGAAGAGGAGAGACGATAAGAAAACATTCACAAATACCAGGAGATGACCCACTGAATAAAAATGAATTTTAAAAATTAACTTTGATAAATAATCCCTATTCCCTTTACTTCTGCTTTGACTTCAAGTTAGGTACTGAAATCAAGATTTTAACGAGTGTGTAAGGACAAGAGCTTTCAGTTAGGAAAACGAAAGTTAGAATCCTGGTGCTTCTGTTTATTTATTTATAAAATGGGGGTAATTAATAGAATTGATTTACTTGTTTGTTATAGTTATTTTAGCAATGATGAAATATCATTTGATTTGATTATCCTCATAATGAACAATTTACGAACATGGTTGCAGGGTGGATTCAGACCAGGAGTTGTAACATTCTATCAAGAATCATGGGGAGGGAGGAGAAAAAGAAGAAAGAGTAATATACATGACATAGAGAAAAACGAAACAGGGAAAAGAGATGGGGGTGCTGAGCTCATCAGTCCCCTTTTCTGTTAGGACTGGGCTGTGTTACCAGCACTGGTCTGTTTTTGTCTGCCTTCTGATTTTCAAGAATTTCTCATATTAAAAAAAAATCCTTAACAAATATATTCCTATGAAAAATTCTTCTATCATTTTTAGGGATTTTGTAAAATGAAGGGGAAGAACTGTAGTCTGCTAGATTCTTTTCAAATGAGAAGCCAATAATTTATACAGAATGTAATAAATTATGAAGTCCTCTATTTTTGCCCCAGAAATACAATATTTGATTTTAAGACCAGCCCTAGCCCTCATATAAGAATACTAAAGTGGAGATCATTTAAAACATTCAATTCTATAAAATAGTATACAAGTTTAAACCTTAAATGTTAATACATAAAATAATCAGGGAAGCAAAGTAGCTCCAACTGTAAACAATACTACATTTTTTTTAAACATTGAAGCAAGTATCTACAATGCTAAAAAAAAATAAACTAATATAATCTAAATGGATTTCCAGGTTGTTAACATCTAAAGGAAAATTTATTATAAGCACAGTAGTAAGTTAATTATATGTTTGATTCACAACAAGGACTTACCAAGTTCTGCTAAATTGCCAAATGCAACAAGACACATTTCTGTAAGAGCTGCATTTTCGCAGTGGATGCCCAGTAATTTAACTAAGGTAGGAATAACACCCATGTTGATAAGCTGAGCTTGAAGGGAATCTGTAAAAACAACAACAACAAAAGTGTTTATGTATTAAATGGACGTTAGTAAGAAGAAAATACCTCTTATTTTCCCTATTGCAAACTCAATACTATTTCAATTACAATAAAGCAAGATTAAATCCAGTCATATAATTATCTTGAAAATGTTTTAAGACATTAGTTCAGAAGAGTTGAATTTTAAACCTTTTCAATGATTAAAAAAATTTAGAAATGAAAATAATTCAAATAATATGTCAAAACTTTTTTTTAAATAAGGTCTTATAACTATATACAGTAGGCTTTAAAATGTATAAATAATTAAATGTTAGCACTGGTTTTTAAGTTTAGAGGTTAGACAAAGTAACATTTACATTACAGGAAATCACAGAGTATATGAAAAGCATAAGGAAAAAAAGCAAGTTTAATAAAGACCAAGAGATAAGATAAGAATCTTAGAATCCCTAAAGTCCAGCTGCCTCATCATAATGGAAAAGTGCGCAATACACACAAATTACTGTTTACTTGTAGCAGAGGGTTCTTCGATGGCTGCTAGGATGGAAAGTAGCTTTAAGAAGGAAAAAAATGGGTTACTTAAAATACTTTTCTTTGCAAAGTTCTATTTAAAATGACAATCATCTTAGTAAAGAAAGGAAAACTTGGCTTCAGAGGTGAAGCAAACGAGGTCAACATGGCTTTGTCATCATCGCCTGCCTTCATATTCTGAGAACCTAACTGGCTTTAAACTATTCATATGCTTTGGCCTCCAAAATGGCTCTTCATGAACGATCACTGAATACCCACAGCAGAGTTGAAGGTAAGCAAACCTAAACGAAGACCAAAAGCATTGCCTCTCAGAATAAGCTAAGAAGACAGAAATACATGTCTATGCAAAACGCTATCACTGTTGATAACTGAGTCATCCAAAGATGCAGGAATGCTTTCAAGAATTTTCTTTTAAAATGTATGCAGTTTTCAAGCTCATGATTTTCTCCAAGTTAAGTGACTTATTGGGAATCTGAAGATAAAAATCTGTTTCTTATAAAACACATTCTCCTCATGGCATGCTTCCCTTGACAGAGTTGCCTACTAATCTCTTTACCACTCTTCATAGTTCTTAACCTATAGATGAGGAGGTGGCTGGGTGATTATCAGAAAGAACATAAAGGCAAGGTTGAGCTGTCTCACATGCCAACTGATTACTTGCCTGGTGGTCCTTGTTAATTTTTCCTGCTTTTAGAGTGAAGTATAAAAAGATAAGACAACAGAGGCTTATTGGCCCTGAAAACTGATAATTACAGATATTATCTGGTTCAGTTGTGGGGGCCCATCTATACTAGAAAGGGGTCTATTACCAAAACAAGAATAGAAAACAGGTTGGAGAAAAAGTAAAGTTTACACTTAGAGTACAAACAGTCTAAAACAATTTCAAATTTTGCAATGGAATTATGAAGTCTGACCTAAAAAGTGAGAGAAATCAAAGAATGTAATATATTCAGCTAAATGATTTGTTTTTATGCTTTTGATGTTAAACATCTTTTTCAAACTATACCCTTCAGTCATTAATGAATGATTTGCTATACTTAGAGGCAAATTGCTTGTTATACCTATAGCATTACACCTGTTACAGTATTATACCTATGTGTTGTATTGGCAGAATATTTGTATTATGGTTATAGTATTTTTAATGATCATGCACCAAGAAGCTTTCCAAGTGAAAAATTATTTTGATTACTTACCAGTAGAGCTCCTTATTATTGAATCACCTCTGCAGATCCTTGTTCTTAGCAGTATTTTTAACTTTCATCTTTTCAATTTATTCATTTTGACTACCTCTTCAAATACTGCAGAGCTGCTGAATCATTAAATTTCAGGTACGTAAGCGTGAGCACTAGCGCATGCATTGAGTGTGAGTCAAACTCCACTATATGTCTGCATATATGTAAGCATCACACACCCCCTCAGTACTGTTGGTGCAAACAATAAAAACCCAACAGTCCAGGGACATCAGAGGAATAACAACTTTTATGAAGGAGATAACTCAACAGGAGAATGCCACGTAGAAGGTGACGTTCTTCACGTTCTCTTAACTTGGTATCTCTACTACTTTCTTGGACCACTTTTACAATATTATGAATTTTGGTTCCAGGGAAAAGAGGGACAAAAAAGTTGAGAAATATTGCAGAGTTTCATAAAATCTTTGGCTTACAAATTGAAGCAGCAATATTTGAAACTGTGGTAGATCAGGAGAAAAAGTAGCATAGCTCCATGGAATATGGTGTGAATTGTCCTAATTCATGAAAATCACATTGCTTCATGAAAATGTGTTATCAAGCTACCCAGGAGCCAAATTATTTGTATACTCACATACAACACACATACCACACACAAGTAAAGAGAAAAATATATAGTTATCCAATGGACAGAAATCATTTTGGACCACATGGGTGCTTTCTTTTATATCCATTTCTATGATGCTAACTAAAACAAAAATTATACTCAGATAACTCTAAAATCTGCTCATACCAACTGCAAAGCAAGTCATTCTCCTTTGATAATGAAGGCCCAGAAGAGGAAAAAAAACCTAAACAGGTTGATACAAGTTTTCATTTCAAGATAAACAGGCATCCTAGAACGTGGTTCCCAAAGTGCAGTCAGAGGACCACTAGGTCAAAACTACTTTCATAAAAATACCAAGATTTGATTTGTATTGACACTTGCACTGATGGTACAAAAAACATCAGTGGGTAAAACTGCTGGAGCTTTAACATTAAACCAGTCAGTGGCACCCAACTTTATTAGTTGTTGATATTCCTCACCGTCACACACCCACAGTACAATAAATGCTATTCTCCTCAGCAATTTTTTTTAACTTTGAGAAGTTATTTTTCATAAAAATATGTTATTTATGGGTTTTTATTATTTTAAAATGCAAGACTAAATAATTTTTAAAATTGTCTCCATTTTGATTTCTAATACAGTAAATACTGATAGATATAATCTATATATATACAAATGTTCTTTGAGATCTTCAGTAATTTTTAAGCATCTAACAGAGCCCTGAGAGTAAAAGTTTAAGAACCACTGCCAATGGATTACCTAACTTTTATAGGAATTGGGAAAAAAAAAAAATAGAAAAGAGATTCTGAAAATCAATGATATGCTTGGCAGATGTGATAACAGAAAAAATTAAAGTCAGAAAGCATGGTAGGAATCCTAGATTTTGGTTCTCAGATATTTCAAGCAAATTTAAGCACCTAAACATTTCATTTTGCTTATTTGAGTAAAAATTCTACTTAAGCTTAGGAGACTATTCCATGATTAAATCTGTTGCTTATTTCGTTACAACTTAGTATGTTATCAATAAATAGTTTTTTCGGGGGTTAAGTTTGTGTGCAATAAATTAGTATCAATTCTTATTGCTGGAAGCAAATGATTAAGTTTAATCACTTTTTCTTAATGCCCAAAGAAAACTGAATGGACTTCAAAGGGTAGTAGCTGACACTCATGCTATTATGAATGTTATCAGGAACATGACTTTAAAATCAAAGACTAACTGGAAGAAATTCTTAAAATCAGGAAGAGTTCACATTCTCTAGATACATTTGAGAGAGTAAGTGACATAATGCAAGACTGAGACTTTGCATCCTTCAGTAAGTACCAGCAACTCCAAGGGAATGTTTATCAGAGCTCAACAAACACAATCCACAAAAAATGCAACCCAGGCCCATACAGAGCAAACACTTATGTGAGAAAGACAGTCTTGAGACAGCACAATGTCATAAATGTCTGAAGACTTTGAAAAACTGCTCCTGATGCACATCACAGACAAATACTGACCAAAATACAGAATTACAAAATTACATATCAAGATGACACAGGCCCTGCATGATCTATGGGGAGGAAGAGGAAGAAAGGCACTGAGGGGGTGCAATACAGATGCATATACAAAGAGATATAAGGCAATCAACGCATGCGCTGGTGTGAACACTTACCTACCTACATTTGAATTTCAATGGTTCCAAGTTCTTCAGGTCCCACTCATGGAAACTCCAAAGAATGGAGATCTGGAGAGAAGATCTCAAGTTGAAGAACCTTTTTCCCCCTGAGTTTTAAGTTTAATGTTTAAAACATTGGTACAGATAGATCACAGGTCCAGAAAAATATGCCAAGAATTCCAGTAACTCAACTGAAGTTCTGTTGATCAACTACTAAAAAGAATAGGTTTCTTAAGATTATAACATGTTTATCTTATTCCTAAGAAAAGGCCCTCATACACAATGCTATAAGGTTATTAAGCTTATTGGTAAATAGGACTTAATGACGAAACTGTGTCAAAACAATTCACAACACAGTCTCTACAGCAGTAATGTATATACGGTGTGTATATTATTCATACTATAAAGAACACAATATTTCTATTCACAGACTTGCATAAAAACCCCATCTACAGTCAAATAAACTATGTACAGTTGAAACAATAAAAACAAGAGGATATAAATCTTGATGAGAAGTTTTAATACAAACTGTATAAGGATCATCTGGGCATAATGAAGACTGAAGAAAATTACCCTTGTCTAATAGAACATCTATATTTCAAAAAAATATATAAAAATTAAACATTAGAAAGGATGTAAAAGTGAAGTAGAACTTGCAAGTTGAAGCAAGTTACAACTCTATTATAATGTTGAATAGCAAACTGACTTAAATACAGCAACCAAGAGGATGGTTTGTGTTTAAAAACTCTATACATACACACTGTGCAGGTACAAGACTTCCTTTTCAGTTACTTAGTACCTTTTTGTTGACTGATCAGGAAAGTGAGGAATTTTTATTCTAAAATCTAGTGCTGAACATAAGAAACTAAAAATTACAATTGTTTAAAATGAATTTATTTTGAAAGCCCTCTTTACACAAAACGTGCATTAGATGTTTTGCACCCAGATTACCCCTGTAATTGACACCCCAGGTTATACATTTCAGTGACAAATAGCAATTTCAAAGGAAAATAAAGAGAACCA